CTTTACTCTCCCCACATAGTATTTGCGGTTACGTAGACCAATGAAAATCAATTATTCCACCTGATAAACCCTTCCCAATGATTTAGCAATTCCCAGTGGACATATATTCTCCCTAGTTAAGGTCCTTCACGCCCTCACTCTCTCTTAAAACAAAAGAAACGAATCAAAGATGACTATTAAGCAAACCGGAATCCATGGGAGGAACTCCTTTTCGCCCTCCCAAGCTTTCGTTGCCATAGTCCTGAACGGGCAACGTAAGCGAATGCCGGTAAGAGACCTGCTTCGAGCAACTTCTTGAACCCATCCCCGTACATTGCTAACTCTGATAATTTTGTCCCGCGTCCCAACCCCCACTTGATCTCCAAGGCTGCTCCAACAGCAGCCCAAGCTTTCCAAGGGACCAGGGCCTCTTTTGGTTAACCTGGGCTCTTAACTGGATTTTGTCCTTGATTCGGCTCCCCCGAATCGTGTCGGGTTGAGGAATGCTCGCCCCCGGTTACCCAACAAACCCGACAGGTTTTTTTCGCTTGATTCCCAGCTTGAGAGATGTTCTCCTGAGACAATTTCTGCCGACATGGGAACGATGAACTGAGCTCGTGGAACTGGAAAACTATTCGAGGGGAACAGGAAGGTGCTAGAGAATCGCCCACATCAAGAGATTTATGCAAGATACTAACCCTCTGTAGTTTTGGTGGTTTTAAGCTATCGCCCGTTCCCAGACGTTCCAAAGTTGAACGTTTGATAATAGTTCCACGACAAACCTCACTCCACTCGGTGCTCTAGAAATCTAAGGGCCTGTTTGGATGAAATGGTTCCGTTCCGTTGGCCCATACTAATGGCCATTTTCTTCCTTTTAGAAAAGGTTGTTGCTAAAAGGCCGTTTGGCACACCCGTTATCAACATTTCTGTTTCAATGGTTGGCCGTTAGCAACAGCCTTTTCCACCAGTCAAACCATTTCACAACGGAATGGTTGCCACTTCTTCCTTTTTTACCAAACAGGCCCTAACTTTCTTTCAGTCAATAACCACTGGCCAGTCGAGGATATGCTCTGTCGGGGGATCCAAGGGAGAACAAACTTAGGTTCGAAATTGGTTCTCAGACTATCCGATCGGCCAACTACAGCATGAGCTCACCCTCTGGTACCGGCAGCGTTCTATCAAGTCCACCATCCATCCCAACACCCCTGCCCAATTCCGAGTTTCCGGCTTTACGAATCTGAATATGATGATGCCCCAAACTCTGATTATTTGGAGGCACACAAATCAAACCACCAGCTTTTATTACCGTGGAATACGTGCCGAGCAGAAAACCAGAAAAAGAGAAAACATCCACTCAGACCATCATCGGTATGGGACCGCCAGGTCTCCTGATGGGGGGTTAGTTATACCAAATGTCCCCGTAAGTGGTTAATCCAAAGAGTGGGGAGCCGATAGTTCTAAATACCTGATCCTATGCTTAATTATATATGGCAGCGTGTTGGATGCTCAGGAAAGTCCCTCATCTCCCACGACACCAAAAATTCCGCAACTCATGTAACACGGCTGATATTATCCATAAGGACCAACCACCAAGTCGAAACTCATGAATTTGTCTCAGCCAATTCAAGAGGCTCTGAAACCGGCCACAGCAGGGGAAGCGAGAGGGTTGGGGGATGGAATGTAAATTTAAATAAGGTGTGAATGGTATCATGTTTCCTCCAGTCACTCTAGAGTTATCATTGATCATCGTTAATCTCATTCTCACTAGGAACCTAAATTATCAGGTAATCATCCATCTAACTTTCTTTAATGCCTGGGCTGCTAGGTTAGGCCTAATCCGGGCCTGATTGCCCTCTTGGAAGCACTGATGATACCTCCATTGCCTCAATTTTTCCAGTACTTCACTGGCTATTCCTTTAATATATTCAATAAGTGGGAGGAATTCCAGGGTTGTGTTGATGCTAGAGCGGGAGAGCTTGGGAGAGCTTGTCCTGAAATGAGCACTGTTCCTGCGTCGACCGAGGCTGCGAGTGTTCTTTTGCGATTGCATTTGCTGAGTCACATTTGAGCTTAGCAACCCCAACCATCCTTGAAATTGGGGTTTAGAGTTTGCCTGTGGCTACTCTATTGATGTCTCATGTTATTTCAAAAGGTGTTCCTGCGGGTACGTTTTATCCTTCATCTTTTGGTTGGAAACCGACATCAGGATCGACACTGCCTCAGGAAACACCTATTGAGGGAGTGGACACAATGTGCTCGAGTACATGTGGGCCCAAGGCGCCTTGGATAAAGTCATTGCAAGGAGTGCTTTGCCCTTCGGGATCGCATTCACTTCCACGTGGCATTGGTCCTGAGGACGAGGGCCGGAATGGGGAGGATGCTGAAGCCCGACGGTGACCGAGCGGTAAAGAGGAGGAATAGGAGAAATAGGTAACCGCTCTCACCTTACCTCTTGTGGTACTAAAAGTATGCTTCCTACTAACCATAACACATTGCGAGAATCTACTAATCATTTTGATTTTGTAACTGGTAGAGTTCTGGGTCTGCATTGTAAGGATAGGGGGTTCAATTTTTACTTAATATTTTTTGCCTAATCCATGCATTTATATGGGGCAAGGACTGATCGGATCCCGTTTGTTGCTCTCTTGGGCATATTCTTTCCCAGTTTTTTTGGGGGATCATGAATGCTATTGCTGCTTGATGGTGGGGTCTGCCTGGGTGGGACTTGGGTTTTGTGGGTGAATAAAACAAAAAAAAAAAAAAAAAAACAATGTGTTTGACATTTGTTTGTCAGACCGAAGGCGTCTTGAATAGACGGACGGCTCAATCGACAGCCAGCTGAACGGAGCCTTATTTTTCTTCTGAAATTGTTTTTCTCCGGCGTGAAATGTGAATCAGCAAAAGTAACTTGGACTGGTGGGTTCCTCCTTGGGCTGCCTCGCCCTTGCTTGGGCTTTGGTCTATTTTCCTTTGATTCCTCTTTCACCTGCATGTACTACAGTTGGAGACTTGTTGGCACCTTTTTTTTTTATTAAGGAATCCGGGAATTGTATGCCTGTAGCTAATGACCGTAGAGGTGAGATTTGTGTTCCACTCCACTACGTAAAACCGTCACCATCGATCATTACCTCCATAGCAATCATTTTCAACATTTTCTACACTAAAAAAACGTAAATAGACGAGGGAAGATTTTTTTTTGTTTGGCTCTATTCAGTTTATTTATCTAACATTTTCATGTTTTTCTGTTTTTTTTTGAAAATGGGGAAAGAAAGGTAGCAAGAGGGAGAGATATGCTACTAGGTTTGTCTGATATTACTAGTTATAGGCGAGCTTGAAGTGGGCTCGAAAGGGAGTAGGGTGGTATAAAAAACAGAGCAAGCATCTGCTATTCCAGTGAGATTGTTAGAATGTTATCATGACCGGGTTTTGATGGGGGGGGTTTTTTTTCGTCGACTTACTAATAAAAAGGGTTTTTTCCACAAAGTATCCACCACCCCCATCAGAATATCCATCCCATCCCACCTCTGGAGTTAGCCAACTCTGTAAAATCCATCACTCTCTCGTCGTTTTCTCTATTACCCCCCCCACCCAGATGCCGACACTCAATCGACCCGATCGGGTGCCCTATGAATTGGTCCAACAAAAACGCCTCCACCTTCCACGCCATTATTCATCGCTTCGAGCTGCACTCTGTAATCGTGAATATTGTTATCAATTTGCCTGATTTTGCTTCTGACTTCCGCGAGAAGCCTCTTGCGGGTATCCTCGTCAATGCGATTATCCTGCTTGATTTTTTCCAAGGTCGCATAGTGTTCATTGTTTTTCTTATGGAATTTGACGACGGAGGTTTCGAGGCCGAACCGGGTTTCTAGCCAATCGGCAAGTGCGTCGCGGGGTATGTTGCGAGTTACCTGAGTAAAGGCCTTTAGTAACAGTGCTTAGATGAATGGATGTGTGGAGGTATTGGACTTACGGGTGGTGGTGGTGGTGGTTCAAGGATTGCCATTGGAAGTCGTGTTGTGTTTTTTGGTTGTAGATTTTGGTGGGGTGAGGAACAGTTTAAGCAGTGGGAAGGAGGGGGTTTGTACTTTTATAGAGGGGATGAAGGATGTTGGACAGCATGTGTTGGCACGTGATGTTTTCTGGTTAAGCGAGTTCTTAGAATTTAGGATTGAGGACAAAATTCAGGATGACTAGGGGGGCTCAATGTGCTGTCATAGTACCGAGAGGGCATCATAGTATAAACCCCCCCCCACCCCCTACCTACCTGGTGACAACATAACAGACAACAAACTTAGGGCCTGTTCGGCAACGACCGTTCCGTTCCGTTCGCCCATACAAATTGCCTTATGGTTCCGTTCGCGAACGGCCATTTTGTATGTACGAACGGAACAGAACAGTCATTGCCGAACAGGCCCTTAGGTTGATAGACATTCTTCTGTCGATAATTCTATCAGAAAACCCAATTCTGAGTACCTTAACAGCAGCCATCATCACCACTATCATCGCTATAACTACTGCCTCTTGTGAGGTGCTTTGATTCTATACTCAAGGGAGAACAAGATCCATTTTCAGAACCAGAGTGGTTAATACATATTGTTTGGATGGCATTAACGGGGTAACCGATGCTAATTGCACAATGTATGACTACCTAATACCCATTTCAAAATTCCTTTTTCACCAAAATATTGCTGGGTCCTTGGGTCTACAGGCTAATCCTAGCCTGCATTGGGGAGCCCCGGGTTGAAATGAGTGAATCTGGCGCGCCAAACAAACAATGGCCAGGACAGGCCCGCAGAACCCCCGAAAGAATCCGAGAAACCAGCGAACTCTGCCCCCCCACCGAAGAGGAGAGAAGCAAGCCTACTCTTCGGCCTTGGACTCTAAAATGTAAATCGAGCGAGAAAGTCAAAATACGTTGCGAACTCTGCTTGTATTGCCGGTTCCTCTTCCGATAGATTGAGTTGAAGGACTTATTAATTATATCTACGGTAGTGATGTTGACTTTTCATTTGGCTTCTGTGCTGGTCAGCATATACTGGAGGTTGCGGAAGCCAGCCCGCCTGTCCTATTTCCCACTTGTGGCCCCCTTAGGGAAAGGGATAGGGATTAGGGAGTTAGGATTTGATCTAGGGGTGTGAGTGTAAGTGTGTTCTAGTGGCTTTGAGGAAGCTGGTTTTCCGGGTGTGATGTCTGCAGGTGGGATTTGGGGGATCTAAGTTGGGAGGTGATATTTGGGAGGAAACATTCGCCAGCCATATCGTATCTGGTGTTAAATCGGGTTATTCACTCAATGTTGGTAAATTTCTGTGGATTGTTTTATATAAAGAATATCAGACAGGTATTGAGCTGGAATGCCTTCCCTTCAGTTTGAATACTGTAGGAGCTGGGATGGTAAGTGGACAATGCGCTAAGACGTTGGAGTTACCTCTCCTGGTAAAGTCGGGGTTTTTTTTAGTCCACTTAATAGTGGAAAAGTTGCGTTCATAAAGCATCCACCACCACGCCCACTAGAATATCCATCCCATCCCACCTCCTAATATTCCATGGGAGTTGTTAGTATATTATCGTGACGAGATGTTCCTTTTGTTTTCACTTACAGAGTATTCGCTCACCTCAAGAATGTCCTTCCCATCCCACCTCTGGAGTTAGCCAACTCTGTAAAATCAATCCCTTTCTTGTCGTCCACCCAAATACCCCCCCACCCAGATGCCAGGAATCAATCGAGCCGATCGAGTACCCTATGGATTGGCACAACACAAACGCCAGTACCTTGCAGGCCATTATTCATCCTTTCGAGCTGCTCTCTGTGGTATAGCAGCTTGTTATCAATTCCCCTGATCTCGCTTCGAACTTCTGCGAGAAGCCTCTTGCGAGTATTCTCGTCAATGCGCTTATCCTGCTTGATTTTTTCCAAGGTCGCATAGTGTTCATCGTTTATCTTTTGGAATTTGATGGCGGAGGTTTCGAGGCTGAACCGGATGTCTAGCCAATCCGCAAGGGCCTCGCGGTATATTTTGTGAGTTGCCTAGATAAGGGTCTTCATTAACCGTGCTAATATGAATGGATGCGCGGGGGGATCCGGCTTACGGGTGAGGATTCAGGGATTGCCATTGGAATTAGTGTGTTGTATTTTTCTGGTTGTAGGTGTAGAGATTGGTGGAGGAAAGGCTTAAGCAGTGAGAAGGAGGAGGGGCTTTGCTTTTATGGAGGGGAAGAAGGATGCTGAACCAGAGGACGTATTGGAGCGTGGTGTTTGCGGTTGAGCAAATTCTCAGAATGTAGGGTTGAGGAGAAATGCATGGTGACTGAGAGGGCTTAAGGTTCTATCACAGTACCGAGAGGGCATCATATTATACCAACCCCCCCCCTACCCACCTGGTGACAGCATAAAGGACAACGGACTTAAATGATAGGCAATCTTCCATCGATGGTTCCATTAGAAAACTCGTTTCTGAGTACCTTGACAGCAGCAATCACCGCCATCACCACCACCACTACTGCGTCTTGTGAGATGGTTTGATTCCATTTTCAAGTGAGTACAGGATCTCTTTACAGACCCAGAGTGGCTAATATATATCGCCTATGTTGCATTGTGAGGCCTCCCGGTATCGATTGCGCAATAAATGACTACCTAATACCATTTCAACATTCCTTTTCACCAAAATAGTGCTGGGTCCTTGGATTGATAGACCATTCATAGCCTTGCAGCGGGGGACCCTGGATGAAACGGGAGAATCCAACGCGGAGCAAGCCCGGCCAAATAAACAATAGCCAGGAAAATCCCACAGAACCCCCGAAGGAACCCCGAGACCAGCGAACCCTTGTCACAGAAAAGGAGAGAAGCAAGCCTACTCTTCAACCTTGGACTATAAAATAAAAATCGAGCAGGAAAGTTAAAGTAGGTTGTGAGCTCCCCTCGCGATGCCATTTGCCCCGATATTAGATATTAGAGGTGCATAGTGCCGGGTACCTGAAATCAATAGAGCGGACAATTCGGCATTCTCACATAACACAAGATAATGGGTTTTGGTAAAGCGAACCCAGAAACCTACTGTACGAAGTCGAATAATCAGACTACGTGCTATGTGATCGGAAATTTCCCTCTCTGGAAAAGGGCCAAATACTCACCAAAGAAAAAAAAACCAGTTTCCCAGACAATTAAAAAAGAAGGGAAATATTAGACCTCGACGAGAGAGGAAAGTCCAACGTCCTAGCACATGGCTCGATTGTTCGGTTTCTTACGGTACTACTGGTGTACCCGGGGGTGTTGGAAATTCCACCACCTCCACGAATGTCATTCCCACAAAAAAATGAGTTACAAAAAGTGTCGAAACATACAACTAGAGAAGGGTGTCTTCCGAGCACTTCCTTCTATATATATATCCCCGAAGACTTCACTGTGGCTAGGAACCCCCAATACCATCTCCGCGTTTGTTCCCAATCGACCCCAAGTCCATTGACCCATGCCTATGCATCCCCAGGAATTCATCGGGAATTCACGATAACCGTGCAATTCATGAAGGTCTCATGTGCGCGGCAAGCCACAAAGGAGAAGTGATGTGGAAACAGAAATGTGCTTTGCTGCCTTTTGTGTGTTCGCCTGCTGTGTTCCCAAACTTACTCTTATAGTTCATCTTAAAGGGTCCTGGAGAACACTGTTCCCCAGAGGTATAAAAGCGCCCGGACGATAATTTATTTGTTTTCCTCTTTGGTGTTATCTTCTTCTTTCCCTCTATTCCCTTTTTTTCACTTATCCCGTCCCGGGCTAACATCCTCACTTGGCTTTCCTCGTCGGTATCCGGGATATACAGAGACAGCCCCCCTGTATCTATTGCCTAGTTTTCCGATAGCTCACTGTCAATGAGTGAAGCTTGCTTAGCATTGGCGCTTCCTTTTCCGTAACCGGTCTCGTTATTCAGTATGCATCCCCGCTCTGCTTCCGCGGATGGACTGAGCGCAGTCAGCTACACTGCTCGGGCACGGTAGAACCTCGAATAGGCCAAGAACGTGGTACACTACTAGGTAGTCCAAAGTGTTAATGTGGATAGCAACGGATGGCCTGCCACGCAACGGAAAAGACTAAATGAATATGTGGAGAACTGTGATAGGAGAGGAATAAGAATGAGAGGTAAGGTAAAACACAACTTCGTTCGCACTCCAACAAACTAACAGTAAAGACAGCGGTATAAGTAAAACATAAACAATGAATCCTGATCCTTCCATCGATCACCACACCTTTCACTATCTCTCCAGGCAAACTACTCTTTCCTCCATATGCTTCTATGATAACAAAGGAAAGACATGTCTAACGAAACTCTCCCATCAATCTCTGAACCTCCACACTAATCCATGAAACATCTAAACTTGCTGCCACACTACCGAACCTTCCACAATCAATCCCAATCCAGCCACATCCATCTAGAACCTTCAACACAAAGGAAGTAGGGAGAAAAGCGTAGCGAAAGACCAGTTGCTCGGCCCCCCTGAGGGAAGGCTGAGTCAGTTGATGACCTTAATGACCTACCTCTCCTGTATTAACAGACCCCTCTGTACGCTACCACATTACCCTTGCAGTCGACCGGGAAAGAGGTCCCCTCAGCATCTTATCACTGCAGCCTCTCGCAGTATGATACTTCACCAGTATGATACTCGATAACACTTGAATGGGGGGGCTAAATTTACTAAATAAACCCTAACCCTGTACCTGAGATGTGCATTCTAGGCAATGGGGGTTGGTAGAGGGAACAATTCCGTGCCTTGAGGTGGTGGGATGGGAAATACTCTTGCCGCAGACGGTATTTTCTTGGGCTACATAGGCTCTTGCAGGATACCTCCTTGAGCTATCTTATTATTTGCCTGTTGCATTTAAGCGTTATCTCTCTCGATCCTGATATTTGACAAGGGTTAGGGTTCGTGATTTTTTAGCATGATACCGTAGGAGCCTGTTCGAGATGGACTGGGGCTTGCGCTTGGGCCAGATCGGCTTGTATGGATGGACTCGAGGAGCGTACAGCTGGTAGGTGAGGCCCGATCTGGCTCAACCTTTCATAGTGTCACCTGAAAACTTTCGCCCGTCTGGTAGCGCAGAATGTCTTCTCCCTGGGGTCCCCGCCCTCCGGTTATCCTCTAGCCCATCGGTACTATTCGGGTCACTCCTTTGCATATCCCTCTTTTTTTTGCTCAAAGCAGCATTCTCCCTCACTCGGTTCTGGGCTCTAACCCACTCTCCCACGGTGTATCACCAAACTCACTGCGAAAAATACACCCCTACGGTCCTCAAGTAACACAACCTCCTGCCTTGCTCCTAATATATTAATATTCACTTCTGATATAGGGTAGTTTCTCTAACTTCTGCCTGCTTACCACGATACCTATCTCTCCAGGCATCCTTATCACCCACGTCCGTATCATATATCTGCGAGGGCCCTGCAGACTCAATCCAGGCTCCGGGGTGGTTCTGGGCATTCCGGAGCATCCTGAGCTTACACCTAATTAGGATTATATAAGTCGTGCCAAACACTGCTTTTATCTCCCCAATTTAACTCCTTTGGAAATACGCAGAGGCCCATTCTCGCACCCGAAAAGTCCCTGAATGGATCTCTTTTACTCACCCCCACACATTACCCCAATTTTATGACCTCTCATATGTTGTAAATAGTCGAGTACGCTCTCACAAGCCTATTGTGATTAACCAGCTTATGTGACATGAGCATAAGTTTGGTCCTGACCTTTGTGTTTTTGCTGTTAGACTGATGTGGTCTACAACATGAAATGGGTTGTGGAATTAGGGCTAGGATGAGATGTTTTTTTTAATTTTTCCTTAGCTAGAACCAACAGAGTCCTTTACAACCCCACACTCAATCTCCTCCCTCCACCAAAAGGTCTCGTCTTCGTTTCCTGCTACGATCAGCCATCCACTGCCATCACACTCCCTGTTGCTCAACATCATACGAAAGGAAAGGGGACATGCAAAAGGGGGCATCAATGAACCCACACAGTAAGGCGATATCGAAGCCCTGGAGAAGGAGTATATAGATTCCCCTTTCCCGCTATCTCCGGAACCTCTGGACGTGGGCCGTTCGGGGGGGGGGGGGGGCTGCGGAACTAGAGACGAATCCTGTATGACACCCAACTATGATACGCTAACAAGCAATGCAGACTTTGCCCTCTCGATACACTTTGCTTACAAGACCTCTTCCTGTCGACAAAAAATCAACGGCACCCTCCACTAACTTATAGAAATAAAAGAGAGCACGAACCAAGAAAGAACATGTCAAGAATACGAAAAGGAAATAGATTGGGAGTGGTGAAAACAGAGCTATGATGCAGAGATTTATGCCACAGAAAAAATGTCGCCTCCTCCTCCCCGCGTTACCCCCCCTCTGCGCAAACATGAATGACCAGAGACCAATTATTCGTGTAGCCCGAGTTGACCACGCTGAGGGGTATGTGGTGGGGCTCAGAAGGAATGAATATACATGTAAAGGAGACTTCTCTCGAGTAACCAATAGTCAAAATTGCTTCCAAGATGGGTATTCCGGACCAATTGTCGGGGCCGGGGTTGTCCGTGAGGAGTCCTTGGTAGTGGGTAGGAGCGTTGATGCCGAGGGATGTGGACAGAAATTGTTCCAAAAGAGGTGCATGCACATATCTTGGAGAAGGAATGCAGGCAAATCTCGATTCGGGCTTAATCGACGCGAGAATTTGTAGTCTCGTGAGACTGCAGGAGTGCTACAACATCCTTATGCCTATGCCGAGATGCGATCTGGAGGGGTGTTTGGCCGTAGTTGTCCGGCTTGTCGGCGTCGGCATCGCCCCGCGCAAGAAGTAGTCTAAGCACACCTACGTGTCCACGCAAAGAAACCCATGTGAAGGGCGTTCGGCCATCTTTGTCTGCTTTGTTGGGATTGACATCTTCCCGTTCGAGCAGTATTATAGCCACCGCCTCGTACCCGAGCAAAGAAACCCACGCGAGTGGTGTTCGACCGTGGTTGTCTGGCTTGTCGGGATTGATATTGTCATGTGTGAGTAGCAGTCTTACTAGACTCACATTCCCACCCGCGGAAGCCCACAGGAGTGGTGTTCGACCATCATTATCCGGCCTGTTGGGACCAACCCCCTCTTGTGCGAGAAGTAGCCTTGCCGTCCCTTTATCCCAATGACTAGAAGCC